CCCCCCCCCAAAATCTGGTCGTTTCGTAGCATGTAGATGATTATGAAGCTAGATACACAAATTGCTTATGCTGACTGTCAGATATGACAGATGTTAAAAATAGGTTAAGACAGATCAGTGTCAAGAGTTGTGCTGTGATTGCTTATTTTAATTACTCTATATTAATCTCTTCATTAGAAGCACAGCCAGTCACTTATTCTCCTTAGGTTTAACCAATGAATCATAGCTGTGGTGATTTCTTTATACTGTAGTGCTGTTTACCATAGGCAGTGCGCTAGAGTAAGAAGTTGTCAAAAAGCCTGCAATGTCAGAAACTGAGGAACCACAGTGTCTCACAGTATATTAGTCAAGGACATATTTTCCAGACATCTGCTTTTTGAACAGCTGAAATTTCACTAATGTTTTTCTTATCTAAGCCTTGTTAATACAATAGACATACCATAATTGTTTCAAATAAGGCATTTTGCTAGTTTGATTTCTGACATTAGAGGCTTTTCACAAGTATTCTGCAGCAAATGTTGGATTTGATCACAGTGTCTTGAAGGATTCATAGAAGAATAGTATGATTGTAGTTATTTGTATTCCAGCATTAGGCATTCCAGTCAGAACTACTCAGTCAGACAGACCTACTGTGAGATACAGAAACAAATAGAAAACACAGTCATTGTAAATCCTTGTGTGCATGGGTTCTCACAACTCTTAACCCATCAAACATCAGACTCTACAGTAAACAATTGCTATGTAAATACTTACCGTGGCCCTAATGTGAATGTGGATAGAATTCACAAAGTTGTAAGTGAATTCTAGAGTTCCAGTTTTTGTTGTCTGTGAGATTTTAACTTGTCTGTTCTGTTATGGAAGAAGGCAAATGTTAAGCTTCTGAAATTTGCTGCAAAATGAAAAATCTCTGTTGATAGATGCCTTGGGTGAGGAAGTGAAAAAACGCATGTCCCAAATGCAAAACACTTGGCAGGCTGGAACAAGGAGTGCATGGAATTATGACATTTATTAGAGGAATGTTATAGAAGGCTATACAGACTCCTTACTCTTGGCAAGAAAGCCAAGACACAGATTTGAGAAATGTTTCCGGAGAGAATGTAAAGGGAACTAGTATTAACTTTGGAACATAATTGCATTTAAGTAGGAGACTTAAATATTCACCGATGAATGGATGGCAGGATATGTATTATACGTGCAGTGCCATAGTTAGTCCTTCTGGAAAGGAAATGGAAGGTTTTTCGAGTGATTAGGCTTATGACATCTTTGTGTATCTCTGCAACCCAAGAGTCAGGATCATAAAAACGTGAGCTTTCTTAACAGTGATATTTTATGTTATGGTGCATTTATTTCCTACTGCAAGTTATTTGCTATTGCAAGTTATTGTAATGACTATTTAAGTTGTTTCTCCTGCCTTTCAGTTCTTATATGCATATGCTGGAGTCATCATGACTGATGACAGTTCACTTTGTCTGTTGGATATGGCCCGTAATGCCTATTCTTGAAGAGTACAGTCATTTATTGACAAAAATGTATATAAAGCCCTGTTTCCCCGAGCACCGTAGAAATCAATAATCACAGTCACAAGCCTTCCTGCGGCCAGCATTTCAGCCCAAACTTTTCCTCTGTTCATGTGTTAGACCAAAGGGCTCTTGCATTCCTCAGTGTTTCCTAAAGTACTCATCCCTTGATCGTGCAGACTGAGAACCTGGCCAGGCTGTGGCCGGCTTCCTTTCTATCCTGCATGCTTGTGTTTTTTCTGTGTCAAACGTGGAAAAAGGAATGTGGTGCCAGCACGAGGCTGGGGCTTGGATGGAGATGGGAAGTTCTGCCTTGTCTTACAGTTTAGACATTGCTCCTTTTAGATTTGCGCTACTAGCGTTTCAGTGGTTTGGAGATTCATTTCTGCTTTCTGGTTTTTTTTTTTTTTGATTCTTTTTTTCTGTTCCGCTTTTGCTGCTTTCTCTCACTTTAATCAATATAATATTTATTAAATCCCTTTGTCCACACCAGCTAGCTCTCTGATAGGATCTGCCTGATAGATGATCATTTCCATTCACCATAAAGGATTGGTTTTGGTTATTAGTGTTTTGATTTGGGTTCTTTTCGTGTTCATCCTCAGTGAAGTCTGGTTATACCTACCATCTTTCTTTGTGGTTAAACTACATGGAAACATAATATCTCTAAAAAGGGAGGCATGAAAATGTGTATAGTATGCCCAGGCAGGTGGAGGAGCCATCGATACATGTACAGTTTAGTACAATAGTCTAGGGGATTACAATCATTTTTTCAAACGGTCAAGTCCAGGTCCCAATGTTTTGCCTATGGAGTACGGATGATAGTAGGGAACTATGCGGGAACTTTGGAAATGAGGCATCTCGGGACGCCAAGTTTCTCAGGATAAACAATGAAGCACAAGCAAAAGCTCCACTGACTTTCTAAGTGAGATCTGTCTAATGGAAAAGGGTTAACAGAGAGGACAAGCAGACTGTATTATGTATGCATCCACATCCTCCTCATATGCATGTATGTGCTCAGGAGAAAGATTATGCTTTCCATATGTTAGAGATTCTCCCCAAGCTTATTTGGAGAAGCGTAGTTCTATTTTCCTATCACAGTGATGACAGCACTGCTATCTCTTTCTACCTCTAAGCTCCTGCTTTTTTTAAAAAAAAAAAAAAAAGGCACTTCCCAAGACAGCATTTGATCCTGATCTGGGAGGAAGTCCCTCAACCCATGGACGCAGGTTGGGTCTGTGCTATTGCCCTAACTAGTTCCCAAAAGGATTGCCCACACAGGTACCTGGGTGATCTGAATCCCGCCTGAGGAAAGAATTTGGGACGGAGGGGTCCTGCTAAGGCTGTTATTGCCAGGCTGCCTGCAACCAGGGTGGCCTTGGCTCAGCTCTTCCTTCTTCCACAGAAGGGTGGGAGGCTCCACAGAGCCATCACCTGTTCTTGCTCATGAACAACTGCCAGAGCCTGGATCTCTGAGGCGGGTGAGGTGTATCCTATGGCTCCAAGCTGTGTGAAGATTTTGGTAAAGGGGCAAGCTACCACTGCTCTCTGCCATTTATGGTCTTTATATTTGGTAATTATTTTTAAAAAAATTAATCAGAAGCTTCTTGGAGCATTAGTTGCAGACTCTTCAGATGTGAGCAACAGTTCTAGTTGGCGTTTGTTCACTGTGGATGAAAACAGAAAAATGTTTCGGAGGTTTTACTGTTATGTAAAAATGTTTCTTTAGGCCAAGTAGAATAGTGGCAGGTCTGCACTTAGAATTTTCTCTTTGTTCATTCATGGCTATGCAGATGATGCTGGGGGAAATTTCAAAAAATGTAAATACAGCTATTGTGGGGGCATCAGAAACAGGAGTTTCTTATACCCAATTCTGTTTTTTATTTGCATAGTATTGTTTATTATTAATCATTTTGGTAGAGTGGACTGCTCCATGAAGAGGAGATTCTTGATTTTGCTGTCAAGATCAGATCTAGTATTTTGTCATATATAATATTTAAATAAAAACTATGTTTAAAAAAATACTAAATATATGAGAAAAACCTTTTTTCAAAGAAAGAACCTAAAAGTAGAAATTGAACTGCCCCTAGCCCTAGGTTGTTTTTCCATCTGAGAAGACTCTTAAGAGATTAGAGACGTCATAGAAGGCCCAGAGAAATTGAAGGGAAGAGTTTCACCATTGTCAAAGACAGTAGCATTGGCTTGGATTAGACCCTGAAAGATGCCAGTATACATTGTCAGTTTGGTACAAAAATAACCATACCATACCCTTCAGACAACACTGTTAGTTTGTTCCCCTGTCCATGTAACGTTTATCTTCTTCCAAGGCCCTACATATCATTTATAACATGCTTTCCAGGTTCTACAGTTTAGTGACACATCTTCAGTCAGTCCTTGTTTTAAAACGTTTCATCAGGTCTATCAAATTTAAAATGATCTTTGTAATAATAAGAGAAATAATAACACCCAGCAGGCCTATAAATGCTAATCTGCTCAAGTTCCCTTGTTTTACAGGATGGATTTTAATCCAGAACCTATAATGTAACTGACTTCACCATGAAAAACTTTTACCTGTGGCCCATTTGGTGTGTGTTTATCATTCAAATCCATTTCTGTAAAACATGTATGTCTGAATAGTTTCTTTGAAGGCAGGAGAATTCTCCCCAGGGTAGAGTTAAAACATTTGGGCCCAAAACCAAGTTACTCAAAAGAGAGACTTTGGATCAAACTGGTGTTATCCAGTCACCTGCTGCCTTTCTTGTTTTGATTATAAACTGCTGATGTATGGACTAGCAGTTTGCATCTATCTTACTGTTGCTAGAAAAATAACTGTAATTCTTGGCACTTTAATTAAGTAAATATGCAAAAAAGGCAGCAAGCACTTTGAACCACGTCATTTGATTACTGTCAAGAGGAAACCTGTCTGCTTCATTTTGCAAAATGATCTTTTGACCCAGAGGTAGAGTATGTGCTGAGTCACATATTTTTATTTGATGTAATTATAGATGTAGTCATCCAAATAAATAATAACTGTGCTTGGATATACCCAAATAAATATAATTATCTGAATAATGCTTCTTCTTAGGTAATATGAAATAAATAAATAACTGAAACATTATTTACATGCAGCATTCTATTAGTAAGCAAATGTCCATTGATAATGAAAGAATAATTGAGTGGAAGCGTTACTGACTTGAGTGGAAGCGTTACTGAGGGTGGTTTAATGCGCAGCTTAAATACTCTTTCATTATATACAAAATAAAAGCACTTTGCCCGTGACATTTCATAGTTGTTCATGTGTTATTTAATTTTGCATTCAAGTTTATTTCATAAAAGTTTCGGTAGAAATTGTATGAAATTGACTTTTCTGCAAAATTTCATTATGACAGCTCGCCAATTTTTTGTCTATTCTGTCTTCCTAGAAGAAGACCTTTCACATGGTTTTAGATGATAGACTGAGAATCGTTAAACAGTTTCACTCTGGTACTCTGACATCAGCTCTCTGTGCAAGAGGGGACAAATCACACAATGTCTTAATTATTCCAGTTTTACGAACAAGGTATTAAACTTCTCTACACCTCTCTTCAGTTGGTATATTATTCTCTTATTGTACATTTGTAGGAGAAAGCTCTGCCATAGTACGAATAATAATAAAACCTTTACCTTGCAAAAAATACTTTCTATGTACACAGAAAATAGTAGGTACATTAATTTAAGTAGATCCTTTATATAAAAGTTGTTTTCCGAAATAAAGTTACAGAATTAACAAACAGAACAGACAGGTCTTTCTGTTGTTTAAATTCTCTGTTTCAGAAAGTCATTATTCATTAAGTGCCTCACAGTAGCAAAGATACAACAAAGCACATACATTTTAGGCTTAAGCAATTTCATGTTTTCTCTTTACAGTATTTGTCATCTTACGAAATGATAGAGGAAGAAAGAAAACAGCTATATAGAAATAGCAGACAGTAGAAGAGGTAAAGTGGTTTGATTTCATATTTTCAGAACTGTATAGCACAGAATTCAGATAGGCCTAGATGTATTTCTGAGAAGCTCACCTTACTCTTTGTCCATTTTGATTTCCCAATTTGTACCAGAAAACGATGACAAGAAACTTGCCTCTCAGATATCTGGTAATCATCATAGCTGAGTCGACTAATAAACATCTTTGACCTGATGCACTAAGAATGCTATGATCTTTGCATACACCTGAGAGCTGCATTTGATTTTGAAAGATACTGCTTCTCAGATGTTCTATTTCAGAGGGATATGTGTGGAACTATTTGGTGATCTCTTCTTTCTGAACAGAATGTATTTTGCAATACCTGAGTAGACAGTTGTGGTAGGATTAATATACAAATTACTGGCAAGTTTAGAGGCAGGACAAGCACATGACAGTGACAAGCACATTATTTAGGTACTTATGCATGGGTTTTTTGTTTTTTGGTTTTTTTTTTTTTGTATTTTCAAGTATCCCAGGCCCAGTGTGAACTTGGTATAAGGAGGCCAGAATATTAGTTAACTGAAGGATATTTCTTAATATGAAACATTGGAGGATTACCAGCTTCATTCCTTCCGTGTGTTTAGCTAAGATAATCTTTCGTGTGGGCTAATGCAGCTTCTTCTTTCCCACTCCTTTGCATTGATGTGGGTGTAAAGAAAGGCATTTGTAAAAAAACGTACAGCCATATGGAGGTATTTATGCAGTCATATGGTGGGTTTTAATGTAGCTAGACAATGCTTTGGTTGTCAAAGCATGTTTACATATATTGTTTGTACTGCAGTATTATAAAAAAGTTAGGCATCGATCAGGTGCCCATTGTGCCGGGCGGCATGTGAGTACATAGAATGGTCCCTGCTCCAAAAAGCTTGTATCCTAAAGATAAGGAAAGGGACAATGCATGGATATAGAATGACAGGTCACGTGGAAGAGGGGGAGGAGCACGTGCATCTGAAAGATAGGAATAAATCCTGTTGAAAAAGGGTGTGGGCTGAGTAGGACTGCACAGAACAGAGTGATTACACGACGACTAGATATAAAACAAGAGAAAACAAACTTCAGAGAGGTAGTAAAGAGGGCACTTCTTCCATTGGCTCAGGAGGAACCGAGCCCTGCAGGAAGACTCCAATTTCCCCCTAAACGTATAAAACAAATGAGCTTCCAGTACAAATAACTTGAGTGAAAGACAAATTGCTTGCAAAGGAAAATTTTTATTTTGAAAATAACTAAATAAAGTAGAAAAGAAGAGTGATACAAGAGAGGAAAACTAATTGACACTGCATGGGTTTAACCAAATTTGTATATTTTTGTCAGTAAAAAAATTTTTTTGCCAACATTGGGATTAAGCCTACAGTTTCCACTGAAATCGGCAGAAGCAGCTTTGGGTCCAAAACCATCCCTCAAACTGCTATTTTTAAAAACAGTTAAAATGTCATTCCTTTCCTGTTAACCTTCTTTCCTGGTAGTTTTTCAAAAATATTTTAGTCTTAATTGGAATAAGTGATCAACAACTGAAAAATTCTAGATTTTATAAATAAATTTCAAATTGAAATAAGTTGACATAATAAATATGTTTACAGATCACTAAAGAAACAACATAGGAACCTTTCTTTCCAGTGCCTCACCAGTTTCCAGAGCAAGACTTCAGACAAGCAGCCAGAACACCCTTATGCGTTTGAAGTTCTCTGCTCTCGTCACCTTTTGACCAAGTGTTCAGTGCCTGGTATATTAGGAAATTGAGTTTCATTTTCAGTCTATTAGTCAATAGCTGATGATAAGTTATCACGATCTCCAATTCATCCCTCCTCAGTGAATTTCATTATGCATTTTCTATCACAAGTTTTCTTTAGGAGCTGAGAGTGTGTTATACTAACAGTTCTTTTCCCAATTTCAGTCTAAATTCAGCAATTGAAATTATGATTATATCTAATATCTTCCATTTCCTCCCCAATTTAAAAAAAATCATATCTTTTCATCTTGGGTGGAAAAAGAATATTTATTGCAGTTTTCCTCATGGAAAATAATTTTGCTTTAACTTCCATTGTTAGGTCTGGCAAAATGCACATTGATGTAATCTAACTTTCATAACAGGAAGTCTGACAGCTCTTTTTCCCTTGATGTCAAAATGCAGCTGAACTAAGATAATGATAACTGTATAGTATAATGACTTCGGTAAAGAGTATTCATGAGTTCAATCTGCATTTAAAAAAAGTGTTGCCAAGGCTCTTTTCAGCTGGGAAAATTACCAGCTTTTTACATAACTGAAACCCTCCAAAAAAGAGGAAAGATGCATCTAATCTTCTGAAAAGCAAGGATGAAAGCAGATTTGAAAGAATGTAACAGGAACATTAGATAAATACGTATTAAGAGGAGATGGGTGAATGTTGCGAGTAATTCCATGGCACTGTATGAAAATGGATGAGGAAAAGATTAATCTTTACGGTCCCATTTTTCCTGTTAAACATTCATGCTTCGTGGAGTTGAAATAGAAAAACACGGTCATAGATCTGGAAGGCTGCAGACAGTGGAATCTGATGCCTTTTTCTCCCTAGGCTCTTGTTGCAACTGTGGTCTTGATCGTTGTTCAAAAGCCCACATGAACCAAGTGTAGATTATTGGGCTAAAGTCCAGTTGGCAGGTGTCCACATTAGTAGAAACTACCACAATAGGCACTAACTGTTCTTGTCATCTTCAGCAGGGAAGCCCACAGTCTGATGGCTTTTTGAATAGACTGCTTTTCAGGCTCAAAGGTGGAAGTCTGAAGAAGTTTGCACCCCAACTTTCTGCCCTGTACCTAGTGTGTGGATAACCTGAAACCTTCCATATGTCAGCAGTACTGTATAGAGCAAGGCATTTTTTCCCCCCTCTTACTCTTCTGCTGCAGAGCATCTCCAGCCAAGCCACTGTGACCAGGCTGACTTCTACTACTTTGAAGCTGTTTTGTCTTCCTCTGTGCCTGGCAACTTCCCAGCTACTGCTCCATGCTGACAGATCCCTTTATGGCAGCTTTGACTCACTCTTCAAATCATCCTTTCCTGTTGGCCGTCACTTCCTCGTATGTTGGATCTTTGTCAATTTATTCCAAGACTAGTTTGACAAAACATGTCATGTCTTTGCTGCCATTTCACTACCTCCTCTCATACCCCCTTCTTCCCTCTGTCACAGATGCAGATTCTCATCTGCTCTCCTCTGATTCCTTCTGGATACACTCCAGAAGCCCCGTTCTGACGTGTCTTGTCTTTCAGGAATTGCTGAATCCAGTAGCCTGATAGAGGTGAGGCTGCTGCTGCTCCATGCCCCCAGGTCCCACCAGCAGTGAGAATGAGCATGTACTCCCAAAAAGCACACACATAAATACATGTATACAACACATGTACATAAATATGCATGGCTGGCACAGCCCAGCTGGCTGACACAGACCAGCACAGACAGACACACTCAGCACTCACACAAACACCACCAACGGCCTCGTCCTGTTCCCCTCTGGCCAATCAGGACCAAGGCTCGTTAGTGGGAAATACTCATACGTGCAATGTGGATCCCCCAGTGGCTGGCCTCAGACGTTCTCCCCGTCCAGTAGCTGCCCTGGATCCCTGGTCTCCCCAGCTGCTGGCACATGGACTTATGAGCCCCCGAGGCCTGCAGCCCCATGCCAGCTGCTGGAACAGACCCCCTCCCGCTCCCCATGTTGTGGATCTGCAGTAGCTGGCCTTGGCATCTAGCAGCTGCCCCAGGATCTGCAGTTGCCGCAGGATCTGCAGTCTCCCCAGCTGCTGGCACCTAAGCATGTGTGCCCCTGAGGCCTGCAGCCCCACTCAAATTGCTGGTGCAGATCCCCCTTATATACGCACACATGCATGTGTGCACATGCACAGACACACGCAACGGATCATCCCAGTAGCAGGCCTTGGACACTCAGTCTACCCAGTAACTGGCCCTTGGATCCTCTTGTCTTCAGTTTCCTCATGCACAGACACACACATGCAAACAGGTGTCTTGGTCAACTCTGAGACCCCATGGTCTCTCCAGCAGTTGGCCTGGACCTCCTGGTCCCTCCAGTAGCCAACTGCTCCTGTTGTCTCACTCACAGAGACACATGCATGTCCAGTCCAGAGTTAGGGTTGCTTCAACAACTGGTTCCTAAGCTACTTAACCTGCTCACCAGCTAGTATGGCCTGATATTTGCCAGCAACCATGTACTTACATGCCCTCATTTACTCTAGTTGCTGAAATCACAGGCACACAAGCAGCTGTGACCCATGGTCTGACGGCGGCTGCTGGCACTCAGGCAGACAGACAGACAGACACCCTTCCCCCCCACCACACGCGAGTCCCTCACCAAGGAAAACTGTTAGAATTTTAAGGCTTGGATGCTTTTTCTTCATAGCCCGTCTTTGAGGTTTATGTAGGTCTTTCACAGGCCTTTTATGTAGGTCTTTTCACAGGTCTTTTCTTCTTCTTTACACGTTATTTTTGGATAATCTCATCCACAAACACAAATTCAGCTACCATCAACAACAACATGGACAACTCATGGATTCACTTTTTAACTGCAGAGTTACGTGCTACAGACCAAACTAAAGTCTCAGTAGATCTCTCTGATCTTTTTTTGGCTGTTGAGCTCCAAATGGCTAAAAGAGAACTTCATCTAATCCCTCACTGATCACTTTTCCCTTGCTTCCTTAGTTTCAGTGGGAAACATGCTGCCATCCTGCCTGCTACTCAATCCTGTAACCCATGCAACATCTTTGACTTTGGCCCCTCTGTGAATCCTCTTACTAAAGCTCTGCTTGTGCTTTGTTTTTTCCACAACGTCTAAACATACAGAAAAGCTTTCATAGTGACTTAAAATCTGCAGTTTTGATGACCGCAGTATTCTTCTCTGTAGTCTTGACAAAAACAATCTTAATGCATTCCTGCTAATAAGCTGTTAATGGTATTGTTGCAATCATTTCATAGTGTATTGCTTTGGTCACATCTTCTCACACAATCACAGAATGGATAAATTTGGAAGGAGCCTCTGGAGGTCGTCTAGTCCAACCTCCCTCCTCAAAGCAGAGTCAACCACAGCAGGTTACTCTGGGCTGTGCCCAGTTGGGATTTGAGTATCTCCAAGAACGGAGACCCAGTCTCTCAAACTTCTCTCTCTCCCTGACCAGTTTCCCATCATTCCTGCATCAAAGATAAACTACTTTTCTTACTCATGGTCAGTGATCTTTAGTTAGTGGGGTTAGTGGGGTGCCTACAGCCTCTGATAAGCCGATAATGCAGGTGTCGCTGCCCATGTGGTAAAATTTCAAATGCCTTTATGGTTTCTTTAGTGCTTCTCTTCAGACCTGGAAGAAGCTCTGCACAGTCATTCAGATCCCTCGTTGATATCTTCCTTTGCAATCAGTCCTACAAATGTCAAGTGTCAAACTGCTACTATGCTAGGACTACTCTCTCTTACAACAGCTAGTATTACCTCATTTATTATTTCCTTGTATTCTCCTCATCGATCTACCTATTTGTTGTCTTGTATCAGATTGTAAAGTGTCTGGGACAGAGACCATCTTTTAACTTGTGCTTGAAAAATACTAGCACAGTGGAACACTGGTCCATGTTAGCAAGTAATACTGTAAAGAAATAGTAAGTCTAGGAAAGAGGACGTGTGTTCTGAGTCACAAAGGTGTCATGATATTTGAAATGGCTTTGTAAAATTTAGAAAACAAAAAGCTGTCAAGTTGTCAAGATGCTTTTCACGTCAACCAGCAATGCTGTATCATGAATTAGAGAGATGAGGTGGGCAATTCTGCTCTGTTCAGGTTCTAATTTAAGTCTCTCACTGTGGTCTCCTGTCACCCTCTGGTAGTGTTTTGCCATCATCATATGTTGTACGTGGTGCATTCACCTCCCCTCCTTCCCGTTCCTAGTTAATCCATGCGTCTTAGGAATCACAGAATCAGAGAATCACAGAATGGCCAAGGTTGGAAGGGACCTCTGGAGATCATCTAGTCCAACCCCCCTGCTCCATCATTTGTGGAGTGTGAGATGTTGGGAATTTTTACATTTCAGATAAATACCTAAATCTCTGGCTGGTCTTTTCCCAGCTTTACACCCTGCTTTACTGTCATATGGGTCTGTGGAACACTCAAAAAGCATGTAATATGTACAGACCTAGATAAAATTAAACTTAGCTTTATAAAAATTGCTCTGAATTCCTACAGTAGTTACTAGGGAATTAGCTGCCTTTTGATCAGTTTTAGAAATGTGTTACAGGAACTATTAGCTTCTCTGTAACATTATCAAAGAATTTGCAGAACAGCCAATGCGCTGTTAAATACTTTAAGGGCTTTTCCCATAAAGAGCGTAGTGGTTTCCTTGCGTAAAGGTAACCATGTGGAAAGGTGTTTGTGTCAGGGTTTGTCCCAAGGAAATGAAAATACACCCAGCTGCCTTGTGCTGTTTACACGAGAGACAGGTTCCAAACAAGCCCATACAAGCCCCTTGCTATCTAGCCATTAAGCTTTAATCTGGCTCCTTGCTTATTTTCTTACTAAGTGACTTTGATCAGTGTCTGCAGTGGGCTGCGACACACAGCTGGCTGCTGACAGCTCCAATGTCTGCTCTGCTTGAGGCCCTGCAGAAAGCAGATAGAGCGCTACCGAGTGCTTGAAAGGGCGTCAGGAAAGGTTGCTGTGCTAGGATACTAGATGGCTTGGGATCTTGCAGCCAGGAGAGAGAGATTGAAAAGAAGGTCACAGTGGGGAAGCAGAGGGAAGGAAGAGGAGGATGAAGAGAGGTGTCTTTACAGTGCTTCATGAGATTAGCAGGGCAGCAAGGAAGTTTTTTCTGCTGTTCTTCGTGCCATACAAGTTCTGTGAATAAATATAGGACATTATTTTTCAGAGCTATTAATCTAGCATCTTTCAGGAGACCAAATTTACTTGAAACTGAGTTCTCTTACTTTATTTTTCCCTGACAAGTGAATCCCTGGACTGTTGAATAGGTCTGTGATTAGCAGGGATATGCTGTAGTAAAGAATGATCCAGAAAGCCTCTAGTAGTATACAAAGACAGAGCCCAAGGTATCTAAAACCCTAAGATTTGGAGATTTTTTAGAAAGCAAAAGTTTTTTACAAAAAAAAAAAAAAAGAGATGGTTCCATATTTCTTCAGGTTCAGCTGATGGAAGCCTTTTGGTGTGTTTCAGTTTGTTTTACAAAAGTTCTGCATTGCAACACCATTTTAATACTGCACAACTGTTTGAAAGTAAGACTTAATATATAAATGGGAAGCGGAAGCTGACCAGCCTCATTCTATTGTTCACTCACTACAGAAATGGCAAACATCTAGCCAACATATAGTAGAATTGCTTTTAACAAAAATGGCCCCATAAAATCTAACCCCCCTAACTGATTATTCCACATATTGCTACAAAAGGATATTTGGAATTTATGTCTCTGTGCTGCCAATTCAAAAAGTAGCCTACTGTTGTGCCAGAGTGACTAACTATCCAAATAGCAGGCACTTGGTACCTGTAGAAGTAATGCACGTTTGAAAATTTACATGAGCCTGCAGATTTCTATCTGCAATTAGAAATAGCTAAATGATATGCACTCAAGCATATTTTTTACTGCTAAATGCACATGCGGATATGCTTAAGAATTTGTTTTCCTAGAAAAAAATCACTCTGGACATCTACAACTGTTCCCCCTAAGTAGCTCTGTATAGATAGCAGGTTTTCTAGTTGCTGCTGATAAATGTTTGTCATTTTAAATCTTGATTTTTTTTTTAGCTCTTGCAACCACGTGTCAACTTACCATCTTTTAGAAAACAGTAAACCTGCTTTTTTGATTGTTATAAAGTTCAATTTTCTTTTATTTGCAGGTGTACAGAGCAAGATGCTGCACTTAATTGGACGTGGAAACCCTTTGGCAGCCACAATGACCCGCTGGTACAGCTTTTGTTGAACTGGGATCAGATACAAAATTCAAAAGTGGGTTGCTAACTTAAATGACAGTGTGGGAAACTTCAGAGCAAAATGAGCAGAATGAGAAATGTTTTGCACAATGCAAGAGTTGTCCCTCTGATCTGACCCTTCAAAAAGCGTGGTTTATTGCTTGCGAAGATCAGAAAACCAGAAGCATTGTCCCCATGTGAGAAACGCCACAGACATATGCCTAGCATGGAAGGCAACAGGGATGTAAAAAACACATTTAAAACCCAGGAAAATATTTCCTGCCTAAGAGATATGTCAGAGAACGGTGGTGATCTAATTCATTTTAACACAACAGTTAGCGTCACTGCTGCAGAAGCAGAGAAATACTGCAGCAGACAGGTGCATTCCAGCCTCACAAATCTGATCACTTATCACACCAACAACTGTTGCCTTAACACAGAAGACACTGTTTCTAGTCAGTCTCCTGAAGATGCCCAGACATGTGAAAAGAATGGGCTAGGTAAACCTCTAACCGTGAATACTTTGTTCAGTGAGCAGGCAAATATTCCTGTAAATAACCGTTATTTTGTAAAAGAAGATTCTGAAAATTCTGGCGCTCTTCTGGAGATTTATCCAAAGAAAAGTCTAAGCATAAGCAATGACTTTTCTGATGATGACCTGGAGTATTTTGAACGTTCAGATGTGCTGCCAACCCATGAAAATGAAATCTGGGAAAAGAAACTGCAGTTTTTATTAGAAAGTGATGATGAAGGTGATTTAAAACTGAGTAAGGATTGTGATGGGTGTGCTTACTTCCTCCGTGAAACGCCTTGTCTGTTTGAAGTGTCAGATAACAGTGTGCCTATGGATACCACCATTGGCTTCTGCGGTCATCACTCAAAATTCGAAGGAGTAAATGTAAGGAGAGATCCCTCTACCAGCCAGTCAACTTTGCAGTCGGAGATGACTCTCACTGTTGGACACCATCAAGATAAAGCTACCGGTTTGAAAGACAAAGAGAAATACAAACTGCCTGTTGCTTCTGCAGCCATTGAAAATGACTATCCCAGAATTGAAGAAGAAAATAATGGAAGTGGTCACTCAGCTGCAGATTTTTCAGTTGATAAATCGCAGGACATGGATAGTGTACTTGCAAAGGTGGACTCCTCTACTAGTGGTATAGGTACTTCTGTGACAAATCAGGCTTCAGAGATAATGTCAGAAGATAATACGGACAAGGACTTACCAGGTGACAGCTCATTGCAACTAGAGGAGGGGAGAAGAAATTTGTCAGAGGAAAAATCAAGGCATGCTGTCTGTACCTTAACAGAAAATCTAAGAAGAAACCTTTTAAAGTTGCTAAATCCTAAAGAGCTTTGCAGATATGTAAGTAATATAGGACAATCTTTTCAGACTGCAGCTGAGGTTGGGGAATCCAGTGCTCTGTTTCCTGGTCAGGAAGGTGTCATTTCAGCACAAATCCACGAGGAGACAGAAAGCTTGCAAATGCAGGCTGGTTTGCGTCAAACAGAAGAGGCAGATAAAGACTGTCATTGGGAGTGGAAAAGGACTTGGGGCCTGTCTGAGCAAAATCAGGTGCCAGATGAAAATGTCTCACTCAGGGTAAGTACAGTGTTTATCATTTAATAGAAAGAGCTGTTCTGCTGATTTGAATGCACTTTATTCCTGTTTGTCACAAAACAGTGTACAATGTAAATTACTTCAAAAGATACTATTCATACACTTCTGAATGACAGCTACGGCTGGGAAGGAAATCTGGTTTTGAAAAAGGCCTGAATAAACCGTAAGCTGTTCTAATTATAGAGTGAGAGTGATAATAGTAAGAGGCACTAATGGGACTCTGGACAGCTGGATAGGGAAATCTGATATTTAGGCTCTTGCGTAGGTCTTACCCAGGGAATGTCTCTTTCAACCCAGAAAGTTTCTCAAATCCCTATTGTGAACAGAAAATATTTTGATTTACTTTCTTTTCAGTTTGTACTCAAAAAAACAAGTTGTCATCCACCTATGCTACTGGAAATATAAAATAAATCAACAGAGGTTTGCTCTGAATTTATACCAGGAAGGGGAATTCAATCCGGAGAGTTCATATTAGAGAGGTGAACAGGGTTTTGCTTTTTTAAAATAGAACAAGGAAAGATTCAGATAGTCCAATGAAAATGTAAAAAATAGTTAAAAATAAAACCCGAAGTGATACTCTCCTAATACTTATCTTATGCTGTTGGCTAGGAAATCAGCTAGGGAAATCAGTGCGGTTGCAGTGACTGATAAGACACTACACCAGTTCTCGCAAGCGGGAGAGTAGGATCATACTTTTTATTTCACATGGTAAAGATGGAATATATATTAAAGCGTATTAAATCATGAATAATCTTATTCTTTATCATCCACTTACTGATTTTAAAATGCATAATGCACAGAAAAAATATTTATGAGAAATAAACACACACTTTTTCCAGTTCCACATGCTTTTCTTCATCTATGTTATTTAAGCAAAAATGTTTCCCTATTCTGAATAATAGTCTAACTTTGAATCTGACCACTGGGGTGTCTTAAGCAATCAAAAATCACTGACTTCTTCTGCCTGAAAAGCACCCATAGGGCCTGTCTCACGTTTTGGGTTTTCTCCGTTTCTGTACTGCATAAAATTCCAATCACATTTTAGCAGCACATCATGTTCTTATGATGGAGAATACTCCCTATTGAAATTAGCCTACTGAGAATTTCTTGATGGTGTGTATTACCTTGGTTTGCACGAGGCATTTTTGCATGTTTTTCCAATGCAGTAAAATTGCAGGACCCTATTAGCAAAGAGTAGCTACAGTGCATTACTAGTAGTGCCCTGGCCAAATTTCAGATTGGCTAGACTCTTGCTAGCTGCAGTCAGTCTGCGTTTCTTCTCTGTATGTGCGTCCCTATCCAACACTTTGTCATATTAGATTACAAATAAATAGGAAAAAAAACAGTATATAGAAAAGTGCTAGAGATGTGAATGAACAAAAGTCATGGTTTTAAACACTCATGAGTGAGGATGAAATTTAGGTTCAAAATTATGTGATCTTGAAAAGGAGCCAACAAAAAGTATCACATCTAGAAGCTACTGTTTATAGCGCAAGGAAAATGTGGGCAACTCCTCACCACTTCAGTCCCATATAGTGAGCCAGAAACTCCTCATCAATCTCCTAGTGTAACCTAAGAAAGGCAAGAAAGAATCAACCTTGTAATGCTACACATAAGCTTACGTAAAACTGCAATGTGGTATTAGCTGGAGCCCAGCAGCTGGGGCAGCTCTGCCAGAAGCAAGGTGAGGAGCTTGTAGTGGAAAACACATCTAACCCTTCTTGACGAGTTTTGTGTATGCCCTCTCCTTGTGGTGGATCAGGTCTGCTGAGGGGCACACAGCAGCCACAGAAGTAATTAGCAGTGCTAATTACTCAAGGATTTACACTTCCTTTTCTCCCCATTGTCCTTTCTGCCGAGTTGCCTCTAACTGGAGCAACCTTTGCAGTCTGTCTGTGCAGCAACTGCTGCTCTGGGTGAATCTTCCTCCCATCAGACAGGCAAGGTGGAGGCTTGTGACTGCTCCTGTGACCTCAAGGTCTAGCCCCTAGTGACGTGTTGTATTTTTTTTTTTTATGTTTCAAAGCAGCTTAATTAGTAATCAGTCACAAAAGGCAACTGCAGTAGCTCTCTAGCTACATATTGGGTAGAGAGTCTACCTATTGTGTAGAGAGCCGGGAGGCTTCATGTCTGTGATGTGTTTGCATTCAAGAGCCAGTCTCTGTCCAGTGTTCAGTAGCCCCGGCATAGAGTAGTGCTGGTGACATTCCTAAACTACAGAGCCCGTTTCTAGGGCCAGCCAAATGTCAACAAAGTTAGTGAAGCCCTGTTGGAACTGGCAGGTTCAAAGGGTTTCTGGGGCACGAGCAAAACGCTTACTGTTTACACTGAATACCCCAGGAAGAGTAGCATCTGCTATTTGCCTGTTTCTAAAGTATTTTTCCTGCTGATTAGATCCACTGTTCATCCTGTCGGAGGATCCTCTGCATTCATTATTTTGTTCTCACTCAAGTCCAGAACAGTCTGTTCTCATAAAATTTGAGTGAGGCTTGGTTTGACCTTCCTCACATAAATTTACATCACTTCAGCTTTTACGTCAGTTTATTTTAAATTTTATTTTACAGAAGGGAAAGAAGCAGGACAGAGGCAGATCATCCAAGTAATTGGGAAATGTGGTTGTGAACAAAAAGTATTTTGCCTAGCGCGTCATACCTCTGCTTTGTCAGATTCCAGGGTAGCCCGAATGTCAAGGACTGCATCGGCCAATGAAGCTTTTGCCTGTGGGGCCAGTGGCCCTGTTCGTTATGTCGTGAGGGTAGCCCTCTGAACGTTTGTGTGGGATGTCCTAGAAATTGCTGCATTTCTACTCTAAACTACAGTTTAGAGTGTTTCATCGTTGGGGCACTGTTAAATTTAGTGCTCCCTGCTCTGCGGTTAATACAGAAATGCAGGTGCTACGCTCCACCACTGTGATGAGGGAGAGCGTGTGTGCTGGGAGCAGCGAGCAGACAGATGTAGGAAAAGGGTGGAAAGGCGAGAGGGGAAGGAGGAGTTGGGTTACACAGCAAAAGGAGAGTAGAAGGAAGCTGTTTAGAAGGGTGTCAGTGCAGCTGTGATGGGTTAACTCTGCCCATGAGGAATTAGATTGATACCCAGCAAGTGGTTTCATAGAGGCCAATAAACAGCTGTCAGATGGGAACTGATTTAATGGCTGGGTATGAATACAAAATAAGTGGGGATTTCTGTTCCAAAACAATAATAAGTAAGAATTACTGTGCATGCCCAACACAGCATTTTCTATCAGTTTATAGTTGTTTAGTTTTTCGTTCAAATGTTATTAAAGCACATCTCTGCCGCTTGTCATTTGAGTGAATAATAGCTGGAAAACATGAAGGTTTTCTGGTTATCTGAGCTCAAAATCAAGTCAGCTATAATTTTTAACAAGACATGTATTCTTGCTCCCTTTGCTTCAACTTGCTTTCACTCACCTCTGGTTCTTTTGTTAAAATCGTGAAAAAACGTTCACATAAATTTCTTTCCTGTGGTGCAGGAAGCTGAGATCCAAATCTTCTCCAGCTTTGAGTCTTAGCTTTTTTCCTCAAAAGTATGTCCCTTCATTGGAAGAATTTGCGCTCTGTATAGAATTCTTCAGTAGTCCCTGGGTGCAAAATAGCTCTCTGTCGAGTGGTAGCACGCTTTGGTTCTGAATATTGTACGTGCTTTCTAATAGGCTAGAGTAGTTAGTACATTCCCTTGAAAAGGAGGTGGTGGTGGCGGCTCAGTCCTTTGCTCTGCGTCTGAGAAGAGATGAACGTTATCAGACGAATGTTTTCCCAGCTCATTCAGTAGGATCCATACGGGGGCTGCCAGGTAACATCCTATTTTGCTCACCTGCATTATATAGTTGGCTCCAGTGTTTCCCAGGACGCACACAAAGATCATTCATTGGAAAATTCTGACCTGGTTTGCAGCATAGTCCCGTCACAGCTGTGCATGGTCAGCTAATTGCTCTGTGTTGTTTTCGAAGGCCGAGAACTCAGCTTTCTGTCCTTTGAAATATTATAGTTCTCCCTCCTGAACTTCCTCTTTTCCTGCCTCTTCAGCAGAAATTTTAGTAAGCATCTGCAGGATAAAATATAGCTCATGTCTTTTCTACCACCTGTCTAGAGCAGTTGAAATAAGTACAGATACTGAGTTATTTTAGCTAATCCAAGACAGGCATGCCATTTACAGCAGAGTGTTATTTTAGGAAAGAGGAATTTGGGTAGCATTGCACAAACAGGGAAGGAGAAGGAGCCATCAAGCTACTGCTGGAGAGCAGTATAAACCAAAAGCAGTTCCAAACACGGTGAATTTGAGGGAGTTCTGATCCAGAGGCAGTTTTGTACTTATTGTGGGTGTTATAGGTATGTTTTGTTACAGTCCATTTGTATTAGCAGAGGTGTGTAAAAGTAACATGGAGATATTATTTATAGCAGAGAATTACCTTCCTACGCTATTTCCTCTTAAGAACTAGTGAGAAACAGTGAGGTGGAATTCATCATCCCATTTCAGGGATGAACTTCTTACTTTAATTTCATCAGCTGAACAGAAATGGTTCAGCTAATCAACTGAGAGACTGATGAATAAGTTATCCTTAAATTTTGTAGGGGGAGAAGATCCAGAATGGCCTTAACTGGTGCCTGCTGAGGTTATTGTGTTTGCACGTGAATGTGACAATTTCTCACTCAGTCCAGAAACAAACTTTGTTGCATTAGGTGAAGATGGTGCGTTGCTCAGATATGGCAAAGGGAGCAGAGGACAGCAGCTAAAAAGCCTCTTTACCTCATCTGTAAGATACCTTGGAAGAGTTGTCAGTGGAGCACCATGGGGGCTGGCTCCACGGTTGCAGGGGAGAGGCTGGAGGAAGGAATGGGCACCAGCTGGTCTGTGGAGCACAGTACCCCGATAATCTCTTAGATTTCCAAGAGGAAATCTCAGGAGGAATTCGTTCTATTTGCAGATTCCATTTCCGTTACTTTTTTCCTTTAGAAACTGCTCTT